CTCGTCTTCGGCTTTCCTTCCACACATCCATACATACTCGCAAACATCGAATTGACGATATACGCTTGATAGTGAAGGAAGCGGAAATGAGCGAAGAGCGTGATGCCGGAAGTGAAAAACAATAACGCCGCCTAAGGTACCGCTGCAAGAGTAGCTGCTGGCGCATATGGAAAATGTTGTCTGCATGCAGCAGCCCAACTGCCAACTTGCCCAGCGAGTGGAGTAGTCACATCAACAAGCAAGCCAGTAGGCAGGCAGGCAAGCAAGTAATCAACCAACCGAGCAGCCAACAATACAAACAGCTAAGTAGTTGCTACTTGTGCCACAAATGCGCACTTGCAACAGAATGCTGAAAGCAACTTTAATAGTTGTGCCGCTGAAGATGTCGTGCTGAAGGGGCTGAAAGTGACTTGCCAGCGCCAACAGCAGTTGCTTTGTTCTTGCCGCATGCCGCACGCTTTGTTAGTCACACGCCGAGCGAATATTTCCGCTTTCCTCTTTATTGCGAACTGCCGCGCTGTAATGTTTTACTTTCTCCTTCAATTTTGTTTTATTACATTCTGCATTGTTTTGTTTTTCCCGCTTTCGTTTGTGCCCGTGTACTTTCCTTTGAGAAAGTCTCAAGTGTCTTCGCGTTGTGCGCTTCACGCATCTCCCGCGCCCACCCAACCGTGCAGCCAGCGGCAACGGCCCAAGTTGCTGCCTTTCTCTTCTTCTTCTTCTTGTACTCGTATGGGGGCTGCACTCTTTTTATCTTGCCGCCTTGCCACATTGCCGTCTTGACGTTGTGGACAAAAGAAAAAACTACGGCGACATTTTATGGGCCAACGAAAAATGACAACAATGGTATCGCTGGAGCGCAGAAAACCATTGCTCTGTAAATCTGCGCTATATTATACAACAACAACAACAAAAATGATTGCAATAAAAGCACCACACGGTAAGAGGAGCAACACTACGCGAGACACACACTCGCAAAAATAAAGAAAACCGTGAAGCAGAGCCAGAACATGAGGCTTGTAAGGAGCATACTCGTAGGTAGGGTGGTTTATTTATGGTGGAAGTGATTGCGTGTAATTGCAAAAATTGCGTTAAATTATTGAAACAAACGAAACCAGCCAACCGGCCAAACACAGGGAAAGAACACTATAAAATTACAACAACAGCAGAGAAAAATAAAGTCAGGAAATGAGAACCGCGGCTGATATATACTTACTTCCCTGTAGTTGGACCGACTACCATCAAACCTTTGTGTAGAAACTGAAAAAATTAAAGGACAGGTTCAATCTGCCTTAAATATATTGCACTTTGTTTAACTGAAGCATTAAAGCGAGGTGCATTTCGAATAAATTTAGCCTCTGAGATCTCAATAATTTGAAAAGTTTGGTATTTCGACTCTTTGGTCAGCACAAATGTTTGCGCTTAAGTTGTTAAAGGAAAATTTAGAAGAATTCTAGTTAATACCTATTTAATTTTATCATGGCGGTATAACAATCATATAAATGTTCCATAAAGCTGTCAATAAAAGCATAAATAGATGAGCGAGAAACTTCAAAAATGTAACTAACCGAAACTTCCTTATATTTCTGACGATATTGTCAAAGTAACCCTGCCCAGCGAAATTTTTGTAAAACTTTAATTGGATTTGATCCACAGAAAGAAAAATTGCAAACCGAGTTTATGAAATCCAAACGAAGGAGAGTTTACCTATTTAGCTGACCTTCAGGTATATGCTGCAAAAAGCTTACGCAACATCGAAAACAAAAGTGGCAAGGTGCCAAAATGGACCACACACATTCTCCAACTTACTTCGGTGGGTAGTTTCACACAACAATACAAAAGTACATATATTTAATCCGCCCTACATATGTGGTTTAATGAATTGCTCCGGAGTGGAGCGTACTTCGTTCGTGCATTTTCATCCGTCTTTTCGCCATTGCCGAAATTAAAACAATAAATTTTATGCGCACCAATGAATTTCGAATTCCAACGCTTTCACAATTAATTTTGCGACGATAAATGGAAATTGTTTAATAAATTATAAACAGTTAAATATTATGCTCATATCAATTTCAAATTTTTAGATTTAATTAAAAATATCTAAATTATGAATTCTATTAAATCTTTGTTCAATAATAGATAATGGGGCAACAATGTTGTTTACTTAGTTAAGTCCTTAATGATATTAAAATAGCGGTAAAAGCTAATCACTTTTTCCGAAGCCTTAAAATCCTTTGAGATATTGCCTAAGGCATTAAATAGTTCACTTGAAATCTTTTACTGATATCAAAGTACCGTATTCAAGCCCTGTCCATAGAAACCAAAATGAAGTTCAGGGGTATGCGCCCTAAGTGAAATTTAAAAACATCGATAGTTTATACTTTTAAATTAATATGCTTAAATAATAATTGGATACGACAAATCGTTCTTGAATTACAGAATTTTTTTCAAAACAGTAATTTTGACATTTGCTTAAGTGATACTCGGAGTGTTTGGTGTATAGTTTCTAATACTATAACCATCCATTGTTTTGGTCTGATCAAAAATCGAATTCTAGCCGTTCAAAAACTATCAAAAGTTTTGGATAAATTTCGAACGTTTTTTTTAAACCAGTTTGTCAGTTTTGGATTTTTTTTGACCGTAGGTTATTGAAATTTTTTTTATTTTATCTACGGCATAGGCCGAAATCAACAGTGGAAGGCCTTTTCTTAGCTTCGCGGATCTCGTGTAAAATATTTCACTTTTTTCTTCAAAAACTTTACTGTGTATTTTGCAAGTATGCTTAAATATAGTCTTAAGATTTGAAAATACACATTAGCATAGTTATGTTGTCTACTACCGCTACACCTATACAATTTAAATAACGGCAACTTGTTGCACAGCATTAGAAAATCAACGACAAACCTCGACCAACTTCGGTAATGATTGACAAGCAAAACATTTTAAACAGAACCAAACCGTAACGAATTGAGTCAATTAAAGTTTGTGCCATATTATTTAAATATAACTGGATTTTTTTCTGTTCCTCGGCACAGAGATACATGATGCTTTTTTATTATTTTATTTTAGTTTGTACAAAAACATTACTTTTTATTCGTGTATAACAACAACAAAATTTGTAAATAACAAGCGAAATTCATAATATTTTTAAAACCGCAATGTGAATTACAAATACAAAAGCTTCCTCCAACACACATTCAAAAATTAAATTTAAAATCATTCATTTGTCCCCGCGTTACCCCAATACTCGTTTATTCCTTCACTAACCATGGAAGCGCAAATTGAAATATAAAAGCATCAATTCATTTGGCTCATTAAACTGCATAATGTCCCATTTAAAATTACAGTAATTTTTACAAAAGCAAAATTACGTATGCTACACATAGTACACTTGGATACGCTCGCTTAAAGCGCCGTGTACATATGCACGAGTATGTGTGCATGAAATAACTATGTACAGTTAGCAATTCGTCCAATAAAAAATAATGATCTGCCGGATTTATTCATAAAATTTCATGGCATTTTGCAAATTTGTTTTTCGCACATAATCAAAATCATTATGCACAAAGTACATATGTACCATATACTCGTGTTGATATGTTATATATTATATAATATGTACGCGAGTACATTAACGAGTAAAACAAATTCGCTTGTGTGTGGTTTAGGCGATGCCTTCATTGCAGCTTCTATCGAATTTCGGGGTGGTTATTGATTGACTGCCTGAAGAGTTTTTAATATCAGATATTTAAGTGTTGATTTCAGTTACCACAATCAAGTCCCACACACAAACTCACAGTGTTTCGGCCGCCGCTGAAAAAAACTCAAATCAAATAAAATGAAGGCTCAAAACCGCATGTTTTTCTTCTGCGTTACTTTTAACGGTATCGTGTTAACACTTGCTACAGAAATGTATGTATGCATACACACATCTCCTTGTCAGCAAATTAAATTGTGTATGCTAGTTGTAATCGGGCATTTTAAATTATTTTATTATTGTATTGTTTGTGTCCTCGCCTGTAACTTCTGAAGTCTCAAAAGACCCTTCACAGCCATCTTCTTGAACAGTGAAGCATACATAAACGTTTTCTTCTAATACTAGCCTATTTGACCAAATAGATACTATGTTGCTAACTTTTCTGGTAAGTTGATCTTAGGTCTGAATTGCAAAAAGGTATGTCTAGTATGTCTCTAGGCTAACGTGTCGATAGAGAAAGTCCATATCCCAATTGACATTTTCCAGAGAGCAAATTGGAACCATTTAGTGTGATATGCTCGACGCCGATACAAAATGTCTCTTAGTTAGCGATGCCCCCCTATTCCATATAAGTAAACACCAATTATATCATTAATATTTAAATTAAGAAACTTTATTTAAAGAGTAATAAATTTTATTTCTAATCTGTAATCGCTAATCAAAATGTAATGTATTCGCTGGATATAACTCATAGAGTCCATTAGCCCTTCATTCAATTCCTCAACATAATCCTTTTATTCATAATTACAGTTCAGCAATGCCTGCGAACACTAATACACCCACAAAACGGCACTGAATTGCACCAGCGAAATCGAACAATCCGCCATTGTTGGCTTCTGCATTGTTTGTTGTAGAATGCGACCTGTCGCCAATGGTGTGTTAATTACTATTCCCATTAAACGCAATATAATATAATTGAATTCTGAATATGCGCAAATGTCATGACCCAATTTGGAGGAACAAACATTTATGCATGCACTGCGTTTGGGAGTGTGCGTGTGCGCTTTCGCGTACACAAACCAATCGTGCGTAAACACCAGAACGTTAAATGCGAGCATTTACCAACACTCGCCCAAACATACTTATATACCTATACAAGCATAGTTGTATTTACATGGAGAATATGAATATGTATGCACATACAGATGTAAACACTAATTTAAACGAGTAAATTCCAGAAGAATTCTGCAAAAGTTCATTGAATTGCCATTATCTAATCTCACTTTTCTTTACCTTTTTCCAGACACTTGCGCAAATGGCAGCTCTGGCGCGTGTGGGGCTCATAGCCCCACGACGGCACATACAGAAATACCCTGCATCTACCTTCACCCCTTCATAACGGCATTAGTTGAGAAGCCAGAAGACAGGTCAAGCATTAACCAGCTGTCAAATAAGAGAGCACGAAAAATTAGAAAAATAAAGTCAAAAAGTGAAATTTATAATGCAAATAATGACAGAGAAACAATGATACCAAAACGAAAACTCCTATAAATTTAAGAGAAGGCATCATAGTGCAGACAACAACAATCGGCAGGAAAAATACAATTACTTGATTACATAAAAATTTCGAAAAGATCTTAGCATATTTTCACTTAAAATATCGGTTTTTTTGACCTGTGTTGTTTTATATGCTCCCTGATTAAGATGGACGTCCTGTTTCTAAATACATCCCTCTTTTAATTCAGCATCACAGCGTAAACAGACCCTTACACAATTCTTCAATACGTTCACAGCATAAATCATATAAAGGTTTCATTAATGGACATTGAGTGAAAGATTGACAGACCTTGACTCAGTTTTTGTGACGTGTACACTGATATCCAATTTCTTTCACGTCTAACTTTCCCATAAAATTATTTAACAGAGTTCACAAGTACAAGTATATATGGTACTAGTTGCACAGCTTTTCGAAATGATTGTGTGTTCAAAATAGGCAGTACTTGCTTGATGTTACTTTCTTGATTGAAAAAATTCTAAAAATATTTAAGGTATGAAAGTTTCGATAAGAACTTAACAAAGTTGTCATTTCAGTTTTAATTCACCAAATTCATCAAGCATATAGATGTAAGTATATCTCTATTTTCAATAGTATACATGTACATAAATTCGCTCGAATGTGTTACAATTTCTTAAGCCCCAGAATATTAATAAGCCCGCTGTTAAGAAAAGGAGTAAAGCTTAACTCAGCGAGCGGGACTAATTCGTCAACAACGAGACAAGTAAAGCAATATTCCTGAGTTAATATTATATTACAAAATTTACCTAGAGCCACACAGCGACAGCGACAGCGAAGCAATCAACGCAGCGAGTAGGGCAACAATAAGCTCGCCAAAACCAACCCCAAAACAACGACAACAAAACTATAACTGCAAAATATAAAAGAAAATTTGCAGAACGAAAAGGGTTGCGCCGTAAATTCAAAAGCGTCATTTCACGTGACAAAAGCGTTGCGGCGCATTCCTCTTTGCGAGTGCGGTTGTGTGTGTGTGTGTATGTGTTTTCGTACGCCAACAGCTGTCTGTCGTCACTCGACCGCTAAGTGGAGCATTTGCTGGCAATTTGCGTAAAGCGCTGTCAAGCTCAACAGACCCACACCTACACACGCACGCACTAGCACTACATACAAGTATAGACTTACAGCAAGTGCATGTCCATATACACATATAAATATATAGATATTTGTGCATATGTATGGATGAACGCGAATACATGTCGCCACTAGCAGTGTTGTTGGAGTGCGTTCAATTCAGCACTTTCATCCACTCATTGCAATGATTGGCGTCCACTTGCGAAATGTGGCCAACTCACTGAATGAGCGATTCACCTACACACACGCACGAGCGACGCGCTTAAGCCCTTTGTTTCCGCGCTCCTCAATGTTGCCGCAATTGCTGTGTAACGGTGCGTAGCTGCCAATTGTGGCGCTCGTTTGTGATCATAGTCATCGCTTTGTAGTTATTGTAGGTATCGATGCTTTTGATGATATGCCCAAAAAGTAAGCTACCATCACACTAGCGATGCAGTACTTATATGCAACTATATTGTATTAAAAAAAATCACTCTGGATACTTTTGTGCATTTGTATGTGTAGGTCATGCCGAAAACTTTAACACATCTGGTTAACCTCATGAATCACCTAAAAACGAAGTAGATATAAAAGAAATTGAATACAAAAAGTGAGAGAGTGAAACGAGTGCAAAAAGTGGAAAGATAACAAAAGTAACGGTGGTTGTCGCAACAACAACGGCGCGCATCGGCAGTCTAGCAAATATGTCAAAACTTAAAGGTGAGTGACAGAATATACTAACCTCAAATAAAAACCCTAAAATTAAGGGAGATATGAGATTTTTCTGAAAAATTAATTGAAAATAAGCCTAAACGGGAATACTCACGAGCTGACTAAGAGTTTATTGAACGTAGAAAGACAAAGAAAAACATTTTACTAAGCTAAAATTAAAAATAAAGTATTGTATATTTCATACACTACTCAGCACAACCAGCAAAGTACAATATAAATAGTCAAAAGTTGCTTGAGTGTGATTTTAAAGTGAAATTATCAAATCAAGTCCAAAATTGTATGTGCCATCCTAACTTTTATATATATAGGTCATTGGCTTAAACAAGATTTGAAAAGTTGTTTCAAGTAGACACCCCTAAGAACTACAAAAAATAATGCATCACTTGCCGCTTCTACCTAGTTTTGGATGGGACAGAACTACTTTATAAATGTTACTTTCCTTTTTTGGCATTGTTTTCATCAACAATATTGTGGGCAATCACTTTCAACGCCGAGTTTTATTCCCACAAAATATTTTATTAATTTTAAATTTATTCAAGCTCACCTCACGGTGGACCCATTTCCTTCAACTGGCCGGAAACTAAAACCGGAAAAATCCCTCAACGCCAACAAATGCATTTAAATACACAAATTCTAAAATATTCAGTTATTTTCCACGCACAACTGCAGGCAGAAATGAAATTTTGTCCTTTTTCCGTGCAAGGCAACAACTAGCAGAAACGCTAACACGCTCCGGTGAATTTACCGCATTTGAAAATGTCAATTTGTGGCTATACAGGAATACACACACGAGAGCACAACCACAAATGAAAGATTAAAGTCAGAAATTTCCTCTTTCGGCTAGCATAACTCCCGAAAATGTTTCCAAAATCGAGTTGGTTTTACTTCTTCACATTTTCCGGTCAGTGGCGGCACTCTGGTGTCGAGCCAAAATCAGAAGTTTAACCCGAGCCAATAATTTGTGGTTATATTTGTAATCCATAGATATTTTTGAAAATGATGAAGAAGGAAAAATAAAAGGGAAGATTGTTTGAGATAGAATAGAAAGAATATCAAAAAAATGGATATGTGTATAACAATTGAGGCTCTACCATAAGTCTTCGCCCAGAGCAGCCTATAAAAAGGTGAAATATTGCATTTATTTTATTTCATTCTGCTTGAGCCATTTTTGCTTTTTTGATTTAACAGCCAACCTTTCTAACCAACTACAGCAATAAAGGTAAGGTTTTTCTAATATTCGCATGACTGTCTCTATCGACTGACTACGCAACTCGGACAAATAAGCCTCAGGCATGTTGCAGGTACAACAATAAACCAGCGTTTGTAGAAAGTTGTCGCTTTTATTTCAAATCAGTTCTATTCTTTGTATTAGAGACGATAAAAAGAAGTGAAGGCGAAACTGCTACTTCTACTTCACTGGCACCAAGTCTATTCAATTCTCATTATTTGCAGATGCAGACTACATTTTCATTGGCAACAGCAGCAGCAGTGCATACGTCTTTTCCGGCAGTATCAACGCAGAACAGCTCAGCACCGGTGGCAACTACAACCACAAACGCAGCAATAGTAGAAACCGCACCTACAGGCGCACACCCATCAGCGGCGCGCCTACAAAGCGGCCCAAGACATTGCCACCAATACCGCTACCGCCACCACCAACACATAATATGCTTCCATTTAACTTCCAACAACAACAATACGAAGAGCAACAAGAAGACAGCCTGCAGCAGCGAATGGTTGCGAAGGCGCTCAACGTCACCACGACCACTGCCACAGCCGTGGCGGCGACGACAGCCGCCATAATCGGATTTGGGCTCAGCACGGTGGGCCAAATAGTGCCAAGCGCGTTGGAGATCAGCCGCAGCAGCAGCAGCGCAGGCAGCAGTAATCATAATTTGCAGCAATTGTCGCGACAGCAACAACATCTCCATCGTCATCAGCATAGCATCGCGACCGCCGCTTCCTTCGCCACGTCACCGCTTAGCGCCACCCTGACCACAACTGCCACCACAGTGCTGACCGCTGCCAAGGCGGCTGCCACAGCGACAGCAACAACGGCTGCGGAGAACCTATTTAGCGGCGTCGCTGTCGGCCTTGGCGCGATGCTAATCAACGACACACTGCTGCTGGACACCAGTGGGAATGGCACGAGCGTTCTCTTCACCAACGACGACGATGACAACGGAAGTGACCTTATGAATGGTAGCATGGTGAATCTCACCAGCGGCAATGTGACCGTGGGCGAAGAGGACTTCGGCGAACTACTGCGGATGGGCAGCACATCGGTGGTGCTGGGTCTACTGATTCTCATCACAATAATTGGTGAGTGCAGCTAACTCTTACAATTCAAAAATTTAAAATTAGAACCGCTGGCGAACGCACGCGTCTGTGTGTACAGCCTGGCAACTAATAGCCGCGTCATTCATATTCCCTTTTGAAGTGAAATTTAATTAATTGCTTTTCGCACTTTTAATGAAGTAAACTTGAATAAAGACTCCGAGGCCGCGAGTTGCGATCGCCGCAGTTCAGCCACTGGCATCGCCTCGAATAAGCAGAAAGTTGTTCGTGACAGTTGTCATTTCGACTCGTTTCACTTTCGCATTTATTTGCGTTATTGTTGTTGTTGTACGCAAATTAAAAGTTGTCGTAAGCTATGCCAACGACAGCACTTCACCTTTGATCTTTCACTTATTCTGTTGGGTATTTTCGCGCAAGCAACAACTGCAACACACAGCGCCGCGCTGGCTGCGGGAATATGCAAAATTTATGCAAACTTTGTCTGAAAGTGAGAGGGCAAGCAAATAGTTAGCGGCGACTTCTTTTAGGAAATGATATGCCCACGGGTGACACTTGACATGCTTCACCCAACAAAGCGGCGCCAGAGAGGAAATGCAGATTTTTTTCCACCAATTAAGTCTTTTGAAGAATTTCCAAATGCTTCTGCCGCAAAACGAAACGTTTGCTTTTGAGGGAGACCTCTTAACGGACAGATGTGTGCTCTCCTGTCCATCTAGTATAAGATTTTATGGAACAAAATAATAATTAGAACAAGTTTCTCAGCATAAAATCTCTACGAAAAGAGTAAACATTTAAAATTTTGTCATTGGAGCCGCAGTTTCGGAATATGTTTTCAAAGAATAACAAATGTGTATGAATTTGATGCTCAAAACTGACGAATATGAATTAACTTTCCAGTCAAAATGTATATATACAAAACGCCGAAAGGAATTTTTATTAACAATAATCAACTTATTTATTCTCTATTATGTTAGAAACCTCACTTCATCCGAGAAGACTAAATAAGCATTGATATTAAAATATTCCTAGCACTCCTAGCAAAATTGTCTCCCATAAATGTTCTCTTAATTCTCTGTCACTCTATTGAAATGTCTAACAATACGTCAAGCAAATAATAAAAGCACTATTTCACCAAATTTTTGTTTATATATAATATATATATATTTTTTTTTTTTGAAGAATTCGTTTGAACTGTCATCTCATCATAATATAAATTGACAAGCAAACAGTGAGCTGAGCAATAACAAGCACATGATGAATTTGCATGCACCCTGTAGGAAATTGCACAAGCCCCGAAGCGATTCGATTCGAGTTCTTAAACACTTTTGCAAATTCCTGCTAAGAATAAGTTTTATGTATGAACATAACCTGGAAGTAATCTTCTAATTTTCTCTGTTGTTGAAAACTTTCTCTCGTACTTGTTAAGTTTCAAGGCAGCTACCAAGAACTGACACGAACTTAGCTCGGTTATCATCCGAACGTCATTCACTGCTGTGCATTTATTTAACATGATATATTGTAATATAAAATTGTTTGTACGTTTTGTTTTTCTCTCTAACTAAGCAAAAACCGGAGTTTACTCTATAAGATTAAAAGCAGCACCATTAACATTTAACCATAATCTCCAAATCTGCCGACTGATTTGAACAAAGACTTTGTTTCGATTTTTTCTTGTATCGTTTATACTGTTAAACACAACCAGACAACGCACACCCTGTATGTATAAAATACATATGCGTGTCTCCCTAAATAGCCCAATTTATAAAAAATGCAATATTATATGCTTCAACTGGCACGAGAGTACTGCGGCTCAGATAAAGCTGAGCGCATCACAAGCGGGGCAGAAAGGGTATAAGTGTTTTCAAATACATGAATGGCGAAAGCCAGGCTAGCTCAGAGCGAAGAGGGATTATTGTAAAGCACGAACACTCGGGATACAATCTCGGATATTGAAAATTATTCAAAATTGTATAACACACTTACAAGCACATAAGAAAAATTTGTAAGCAATTCAATTTATGGGCTATTCAAATTTGAAGAAAAGCCTTTGCTCGTTTTATCTAACTATTTCATCGAATTTCACACTTTAATGGTCAGCGCAGCTTTAAAGTTTTAAATATTTTCACTTAATGATTTGATCTAAATTTTGGGCAAAATATAAAAATATAGAAACGTAAGAAGATCGAAAGCGAGTGAAATTAGAAAGTCCAAAGGATATTTTTATAATTTGTATCACTTAATTTCGTTGAATGCTTTTTATTCAAATATTTAACGATAACAGTTTTGATGCTACTTATAGTTTGGAAAAACACTTAATAGGCAAGAACAGAAAAAAATTAGTTAAATATGCATTGCTTTTAAAAAGCTGTCTTTAGTCCGAATTTTTCGGAAGGATTCGATTTGTTACTACACAAATTTGTTACAGCAAATAAAGGAGTTGATGTTGCATAAATACACTTTAAGCATCCGTTCTTCTTCGTGTAACTTATAAGAAAGGTTGCCCCATTTTAACATTTTACTTGTAATACAAGCACGTTCTCTGGTTTCTGCGCTTGTTCGATATTTTTGCATCAAAAAGCGTATTTATCACTTCAACAGCCTTAACAGCAGTTAATGTGAATGAGAAAATAAATATGGCCACATTATGTGCAAATTGGTTTATTTCGAAGTGCAGTTAAACCTGGATATGTGATACCTAATTCCTACTTAAGACAGAATGTGTTTGTCTGAAGCCTCCGGCATGGGATATTAACTTTAGTACAAAAAGCAGGAATAAGTTCCAAAATCTCAAGTCGGTGAATAATTATTGTATAATAACTTTTTGTACAAGTTTGCTAGAATTATCCAAACCTGCTATGCACTTTGAAACATAAGAAATGTGCAAGAACTCATATGCAGTCGAACATAAATTGAATAATACAAAGCTCTGTTTTATCAAGACTTGACTGTGTAACAATTTATATCGCCTTAAAATATCAAAGATCTCTATTAAAACAAGCACCAGTTGCATCAAAGGATATTGATATCAATATTGCCACAAATACCATCATTCCTCATGCCCACAGCTGCAGCCGTGTTGGTATGAACATACGTGTAAATAACAGTAAATTTATGATGTATAAAAACGGATTTATTGTGGATTATTGAAAATAATTTCTTTGCATCAACGAGTGTGTATTTATTACACAGGCAGAGTAGAATTTTACACACATACTCGTGTACTTGTACAACCACCGACAGCCCAACATTGGAACACACATACATACAAATGTATATTCAAGCTTATTCCATTTGATTTATTTGGTGTTTACCATTTATTGAATAATTTTTAGGCATGATTTCTCATTATACCGTTCATGCACACACTTTCCTCTCTTGCATATATTTTTAGGTAGTATCTTATGATCCTGATGGGTTCAAGAAGTATTTGCGCAGTTTAATGCACTTCAACAATGCTTTGCAATTGAACTCAGCTGTGAGGGTGACTTTTTCATTTAAGTGAAATAAATATTTGGTCAAAATTATCAAAAAGCATTCGAAATATGTATGTTAGTATATGTAGATAATGAAGCATTTACCAGCTCATGGAAACGGCAAATTGTATAATGGAAGTGAGGAAAAATTTCGAATTTATAAATAATACTCGTACTACATATGAAAATCACACTCCTCATTTTGAACCAATTAATCAAATCCAGAGTAGTACGATCCAAAATATCGATATCAAAATCATCTCGCAACCTGTAAGAAATTACATTGAACTCTACTGCGCCAAATATTCCAGATTATTATATTTTTAAACATCGCATATGCTTCCCGACTGGAGATTGGTGGCATCCAAACGAAAGAGCCTTTGATGGTATCTGTGTATTTATTAACTTTTTAGATCTGTCCAAAAATTCACTTGCAGATATACCTAAGTGTATGTAAAATTCACTGTCCTTGACACCGTGAGTTCAGCAGCCCCATAATGACCACAAAAGCTGGCCAGCAGCTGTTGCCAATGGCCGCAATACAAATCCTTTATGACTACATCGCAGGCAAAACAAAATACAATAAAGAAATGTGTAATCAGAAGATGGAATCAAAAGCAATAAAAAAAGAGCTTTTTAATACATAAATTAAATTTCTGTTATTGGAGTTATTATTAAAATTGAAGGGAAATAATAAATTTCTCCTGCAAATATTTTTGATATCTTCATGTTTTTCCAGGAATAATAAAATAAACTCATTTATTCAGCAAACAAATTAAAGCCTTACTCGAGATATTAAGCCAATTCGTACTTCAAAATTCCAATCACCTCAAATATTTTAACTTGCCGGTCGAAAGATTCTTGAATATATTTTATAAAACTGATGCAAAGTCTGAATGCAGTTCTGATCCTCCTCTTATATTACCTCTCATAGACTCAACACATTCTGTCTCGAACTTGGATTTTGCGCAAATTGAAAACAAAGTACACTCCCCAATATGTCAAACTTTCCGAAACGCTTTAAATAATTCGATAAAATTAAGTTTCTGTCAAAGCATATCCGGCCAACTGCAGGTTTACTAAATATAGTATAAAGTGGCTGGGATTGTAAGGAAGCCCCATCGATCCACTGATTCCCTCTTAGAAATAATGACTTCCTTAGAATTCCATTTATTTGAACACTCTAATCCAAATAAAGTTGTGAGTGAAAAAATAGCACAAATCCACAAAAGCAAAGAACTCTTCCAACAACAACACGAACTGAGCAGAGATGGATTATCTAACTAAAAGTGTAGCTGGAAGCGTTCGGACGGAAGAATGGAAAGAAAGAAAACAAGCAGCTTTATGTTTTGTGCTTAGCGTCAAGTAACAGGTAACAACAAAAATGAACAAATGATGCCTAGCAGAGAATGCAACAAATTGCAAAAGCCACTGAAAACCAAATGGAAGAAATAAGACACAAGCAACGCCCAGTAAGGCTTGCTCATTCAAAAGGAAAATAAAAACGAACAAAAAAGGCAAATAAAACTGATACAATAAGGTAAAGCAAGA